ATCTTCTCGCTCATGTAGTAAGTGCTGAGAGCACATTTTTTTCTTTTAGCATACAAATAATTTTTTAAAAGCATCTCATGGAAGTGTATTATAAATCACTTTTATTTCTTTACATTTGAAAGTCTCCATGTTTGATTTATTAATAACTCATGTGAGAACTATTTCAACCAAAAAGCATGAGCTAGAATTAACCCAACATGAAGACAGTGTAGTTAGAGATGTGCAGCTCACTGCGGGGGCATGGAGCTAACTGTATGGACACTAGGGATGACTTACACAGGAGCCAATAGTAGCTGTCCATTTGCTTTCCTTTGGTTTATCTTCTAAGTAAACGGTGACCTGGTAGATGTTCTGGTTAGAGTCCGGTATCTCTGGCCCCAGGCCCCCTCCTCCTGCACCCCGTAGGACCACCACCTCTTCCAGGGAGTTCACATGACCTCAACTTCTACCTGGTGACTTGGAACATGATAAGTGATTGAGACTTTATCTGGCTCTGGGCTCCACACATTTCCCCCTCCTGACAGAGGCCCTGGGACTGGCAGCACCCAGTCAGACCCCGCCTCCTGACGGCACCTGCCTTACCTAGGAGTTGGAGGTGTTCACTTCCATCATGCTCAGGAAGCCACCTTGCTGGAAGTGCCACCTGGTTGTGGCTAAATCTTACTTTCCCAATGGGGGTCTTGTCCTTGGACCCTGTCTCTCTCTCTGGTTGGCATTCCTATGTCCTAAGTGCAGTGCCCATGTACACAGGCTCTGGCTCACCTGTCCTGTCTGTGACCCCCTGTCTCTGCACCATGCTTTGGTGTTGTTACTGGAGCTCTGCCTATTTGCCCTTTGCTCTGTGGACCTCTTCTGAGCTGCACCTGACCTGAATCACTTTTGTAAGGTGAGGGATCCACCTGTGGGATTGGTGTGGCCTTGCGTTGGTCATCCAGTGCCAATGGTTTTGCCCTGAAGTCCCTGAAGAATTCTGAGGAGGGTGACACCATTTCCAGGTCACCTGCAGACTAATATTACTTGTGAGATTAATGCCTTTTTTTCCTGGCCCATAGCAAAGAATCCTTTAAACTCCATATCCCACCACAGTGGGCTAAATGCCTGCCCTTTCTGCCCTTCCTGAAAAAGTTGTTATTGTAGGGATGATCATATCAGAGCCAAGCGAGAATAACTGCAAAACACGTTTGAAAGATGACATTCATAAGAAATCAACAAGACACCAACAAGAACCATCAGGTAAAGTTGGTGTGTGTCACCCAAACTGTCAAGAGATTGGGGAAAGATGATTCAGTCAGATTGCTGGAATCAGAGGTGTATGTGTTGTCTTGAATAAAGCCTTCTGTTTTTCGGTAACAGCCACAAAATCTTAAGGCCATTATATTATTCTGAAGGTAAAAGGACACTGGTCCTGTTTATTGGACCTGCTTGGGCTCTGTATCCTGATGTGCTGGGATTTCACTGCAGGGCTGGAGGGAGAAGCAAGGCTGTAGCCCTGGGCAGGATCTGGGCTAAAGGCATCTCCTCTGAGCACAGGAAGTGCCTTTGTCCACTTGGAACTGGACAGGGCCCCATTGTCAAGGACGGAGAGAGCGGCACAGTGTCTAAGAGGACACAGCAAGTAGATGGTTTTAGCATGTGAGCTGGTGCATGTCTATAATCTGAGCACTTGGGGAGGCTGAGGCAGGCTGTTGAGCCCTGCCTCTGCAGCTTAGTGAGGCCCTGTCTCAAAATAAAACATGGAAAGGGCAGGCTATGTAGCTCAGGGTAAAGGCCCTGGGTTCAAAGCCCAATCCTTCAAAACTAAAAGAAGGTTTTACGCCTAAGGAATGCTCAGTAATAAGGAGGGCAAGCTGTGCTGTAGCTCTAGGGAGGAATGTGAGCCTCACAAGAGACCCTTCCTGCAGGCTAGGGGAGCCCCGGGCCACCAGACCCCATGAGAGATGCTGGCTCCTTGCAGCAGCATGCTGCTGGCAAAAGGGCTTGAGGGAGAAGCCTGGTCGGCCGGGATAGAACTGGGGGCAGAACTGGGGGGCAGCACTGAGCAAGGAGGGGTGGAGATGGGTGGGCGGCTATGACTCCATCATGCACAGCCCCCAGGAAGCTCTGGGGTCTCAGCCTCTGGTTACAGGAGGCACCACCAACGCCTGCAGATGACGTGCCAGTAGGGCCAGGCCTGCACCCAGGTGACTCTGCACACGCAAAGAGGACCACAGCGAGGACCGTGGTGCAGGGGAGAGTTGGCAGCAGCTGCTTCTGCTCTCAGGGTCCTCTTTCCACAAAACCTGTGGCCTTTTCTTCCCAAAATGGTGTGCACCCATCTGCGAGGTGTATACCTGTGTGGTGATTGACACTTCCCCTCGCCATGAGGACCTCTTTCCCCAAGGTTGCCCCACTTGGAGTGGACACGAACCCTGGGAAGATGCTGCCCAGATGACAGTGCCACCTGTGCCAGTGCAAGGTGGTGGCCTGGAGTGGACCTGTGCCCCTCTGCTTGGCATTGCGGGTCCACTGTGCCCAGACAGGTGAATCACAGGTCCCTGCTAGGTAAGGAACAGTTCCCCACAGCCAGACCCCCTCATGCAGAGTGGAGGGGACACTGGCAGTTAGAGCCCAGCTGCAGACTAGAATCCCAAACAGAGGCCATCAGGATGTCCCTTTGCCAGGCTCCTGTCCTGTCAAAGGGACTCAGGACTAAAATCCACCTTTGTGACTGGCTGCAGATGAAGCAAGAAGCAGAGCCTGGTGTCCATGGTGATAGCGGACGCTGGACAGCCCTTCAGCCTCTGTGTGGAAGCTGTGGTCCCCAGCTTGGCCCTGCAGGGAGGTGACAGGGCTGAGGGAGCTGAGATGACAGGGGCTGCCTTGGCAGGGATCCTGAAGTCCTGGCCTCTGCCCTTTGCTCTGTTCCCATCCTAGCCAAGAGGTGAGGGCCCTGCCCACTCAGCTCCCTGCCATGATGTGGAACTCCTGCTCACCCAGGGTCCATGAGCCTCCAGCACTGCATGACTGAGATGTCAGGACCTTTGCCGCAGGTGCAGAAGACTGACCGACAACATGGCGGAGATACGTCCCGTGTCCCTCTGACTCTAACCCCACAGGCTGGCGGCATCTGTGGGGAGAGGCTGTGAGGCGTGGACAGAGTGATGCAGACACTGTGGGGAGGGACAGGACATCAGCCAATCTGTGGAAGTTGCCTGGGACTCAGTGTGGGCCTTCTGTGTGATTCAGGCCTCATTTGTGCATGAGGGAACCTGCGCGCCGAGAGCCGGTCCCTCACTCACAGTGGTGGATTTGTCATCGGTGTTGCTTTGCTTCTTTCAGCAAATTAGTCAAGTCAGGGTGACAGCTGCGAAGCCCATGGCTCTGGCTCTAATGTCCCGTGGCCGGGATACATGGTACGTGATGTGCTCAGTGCCAGCCAGCCAGGCTGGGCGATCCACGCCCTTTAGTCACAATGCCAAGGAGAACGGGAAGGATGGAGGGGCCACACTGTGGAGCAGCGTCCAGCTCTGGGCACCCTCTTCCTTTGCTCCATATTACATTGTTGCAGGCCTCCCTGGCTTCCCAGGACATCTGTACACTGATACAAGCAGGATTCTGCGTGTGCTGCAGCAGGCAGGCAGCCTCTCAGGCTGCTGTGACCACATTGTCACAGCCCAGTGGCCCTCAGCCGCCTGCTTGTGTCAACCACAGACGCAGCTCAGCCCACCAGCCTTGCCCATCCTACTTCCAGGAGGGATTCTTGATCTGGCGTCCAGCAGGGTCACAGCTGTTATCATCCTTGGGTGACACTTAGACAGACAGCCCAGAGCTTTGCAGCCAGTTTCTAACTGACAGAGTGGAAGGCACTGTCCATGCAGGGCCAGCGCTGCCAAAGCGGTAAGTTAAGAGGCATCTGAGAGTTTGCTCTAAAATTTAACTGCTGTAAGAGGATTGTTTGTGCCAGTTTATAAGCATTTTAGTATGTTTTTAGCATATACAGTAGTGTCTAGGTTCACTATGGCTTTTGTTTGCAAAAAAAAAAAATGGTTTGCAAACAGAAGCATTTGACAAAATCTTGTTTTGTTTGCAGACTGTATAAGGTGAGAGAGGACCACAGCCATCTTCCCACACAAACACAAACCTGGTCATCTTTTCCAAAATCATAAACAAAAATGAGCCTGTGAACCAAGGTACTGTTATATGTGTATACATATACGTAGTCATGTAGCCTAGATGTGTATCAACATTCTGCCAACACTGTCCAACCTATTTAGGTATTTATATTAATTATGGATCTGAAGCACTCAAACATTAATGTTCCTTAAGTAATGTAATTACCCAGCAAGAAGCAACTGCAAGTCTTTTGAAAATGGTTATCATCATTTCCCATGTACATTTTAGGGATGAATATTCGGCTCATGCGTTTGATCGCGTGTGGGAGCTTGGGAGTTCTTAAACTAATACTTAAACTAATACTTATATCATCCCTTAAATCTAAGGACTTAATACAAAGTTAATGCAACTTTGACATGCTAGGCTTTGGTGCTGTTCACCCATGCTGCAGACATCTCTTCCGGCATGGCCGTATGATCTGGTCTGATCTCTCTCCAAGGCACTGTGCTGAGAGGTTCCACTGGGTCAGGGCTGCTGTGGGTGGAGATCAGGCTGATTCCGTTGAGAGGCAAATGCCATTCGATGCCAATATTTCTTTCCCCTAGTTCCATAAGTCCTGTGCTTCTGTGCGATCAAACACATCTGTGAAATGTGCCAGGGAACATGCACAGATTCTGGCTTTCTGTTTACTCACTCAGGTCAGGGTCAGGCAAACCTCTGCTGCCTGGGCCACTGCCAAAGAGTATTTGGGGCCTCTGTGGCCAGCAGGGCCCTGCAAAGAGGAGCGGAGCTTGTGAAGGAGGCCTCTGGGACAGGGCGGGGAGACACACCGAGCGAGGCGGTCTCTAACCAGTCACATGGAGTGAGGACATGCCCACCTTCCTGACTGCTGCTTAGACACCAAAAGAGGACCAGGAATTCCAGAGGCAGCTCATTCAGGCATGCGTGTGGCTGGGTCTCCTTCTCAAGCCTCCATCCATCCAGGCGAATAGAAGCTGAAGCTCAAGAGTTCAGAAGGCGAGAGTGACTTCCACCAGAGGAGGAGTTACCAGGGTTGGAAGGCAGCGAGGCTGGGCACCAGGCTTTCTCTGTGAAGCAGTCAGGAGAGGAGGAGGCAGACTCGGTGAGCTCCAGGCCCAGACTCCGAGCTGGGTGAGCTCGCAGAGGGAAGTCTGGAAATAAGTGTTTGGTGGCAGGAGGATTAAAGGAACATGCTAGGTGTGCAAAGCAAGGGTGGGCACAGAGTCTTACACGCTGGACTCAGAACACCAGCTAAAGGGGTGTTCTTCCCTAGTATCTGTGTTCCTCTAACACAGGAGCTGGCAGGGCCACTACCACATCCAACAACAGCCAGCCGGCTGTGGTGCAGGAGAAGGGTCTCCGCTGCCTCTGTGTCAGCGAGCACGGGGAAGTCCTTTCAAAAGCGCGCTTTGCAGCGTTTCTGGGAGGGAAATTCTGAGCAGAGGAATTGTCATAATGAAAATTATAATTGCGAATTCATCCTGTAATATCCATTGTTACTAACTTACCATGCATACAAAGTAATTAAGAGGGTTTCTATTGACTGAGTCTTTTCAATGGTATTATTATAAAAGTAAAAAATTTGTTTTCTTAGAATATCAGAATATCTTTGTTCACAAATTTAATATTTTTCCTTTGTGATTGCTCCAGCTAAGTGGGAATGGAGGCAATAAAGGCTTCTCTTAGCCACCTGGATTGACCCAAGGGTGTTGATTGACTTTCCAGACTTGATTCATTCACTGGCCAAATGACGGCGTCAGCTCTAAGGGTCAATCACATAATATCTAGCAACCCAAACTTTTAAATTTCTTTATCCTGGGGCCCATGTCACACAGCTCTAAAATCATCAGATAAGTAATAGAGTATTCTGTGCATTTTAAGCATTATAACTGATCAGTGACCTTTAGTTATAAGGAGCTATTTTTAACTTTATAACCAAAACTGTTACAAATAGCAGCAGCCACATCTTTTTGAAAGCATTTCTTCTTTGTTTTCCCTCTCTATTGTTTTTTTTTTCCATTTATATCCCTAAATTGTCACACCAATTTACATTATTCTAATAGCAATGCAGAATTCCACTGAGGACCATAAGCTGCAGAGGCAGGCATGGCTCTTGCAAGCTGCTCACTGCTATGGGGGGAGAACAACCTTTCCATCTGGGAAAGTAGTGGCGAGAAAAAAAGAATTCAATACTTGCAGTGTTACACCTTCTGTGTGTATTTATGCATCTATGTGGTTAGTTACATGCCTGCAGATATGCTGTTTATATACTTAGGCTATTAATAAGGAAATTCCCCATGCAGCTTTCATACCTGTGTCTATGAGGTTTTGACACTAAATACTTCTCCATCTCAGAGGCCCTTTAGATCATGAGATATTTTCTTTTCAGGTCAGCTCCCTGATTATTAAACTACGAATATATCTAAATTGATTCATTTCAAACTGTTGCTTCCCCTAATGTGCCTACATCTACTGTTTGGTTGCAGTTAAGCTGTGACTCAGAGCACAGAGAAGAAAACCACCAGGTCGCCGTCACCAGCTGTGGGGCAGGCGCCTGGGGAGTGGCGGCCTGTGCTGCTTACTGGTGTAGGTCAGCTGGAAGCCGAGGTCCGTGCCCGAGCCGTTGGTGTTGAACTCCAGCCACAGGTGGTTGGAGGTGCTGTTGAGGAGGAGCCCCAGCAGCTCATTCCTCGTGAAGGTTCCCAGCGGGCGCGACGAGCTGTCTTTTCCATCATACACCTAACGAAAATTCACAGCGTAAGTCACTCTCCTCCTTAATTCAGCTTTTTGGGTGGCAGTTCTGACAAAGCACCCAAACGCTCAAAAGGGCAGCTCTGCACAGCACAGTCAACGGTCACAGGGGTTTGGAAGCCAGCGGGTGACAAGGCGAAACCACCTGTGTCTCCTTGCCTTTGCCTCTGGCTGCAGAGTGGGGCCCACCTGCATCCCCCACGACCGCTCTCCCAGGGCCCTCTCTGAGGAAGGCTAAATGCGTCCTGTGCTGCTCTGCAGTGGCGCCCAGAGTGGCTAGAGACTCCAGCGGACCCCGCCTGGCACCACCTGGCAGGCCTGGATCTGAGCAGGCACTGGGCCGTGTGATGCCACCTGGAGACTGCCAGGTGGACCTCGGGCTTTGCAGAGGGTCCCACAACTTGGGGCCCCACCCCACAGTCTCTGTGCTGACCTGGGCCCCTCTGACTTAAGAACAAGGATGTCCTGTCCTGCAGGTGGTGCTGCAGACTCCTGTACTCCAGGGAAGGTGGTGCACTGAATGAGAAAGCCACCTTGCACCTATGGGCTTTGTAAATTAATGAAAATGTATCACGGTATAATGAAGAACATCCACTTTTTCTTGCTAAAAGAGACTAAATAAAGGTCACCAAAGTCCTCCATGGCATCTGTCGCACTGCCCTGACCCCTGCCCTCTCTCAGTGTGTGAACAGTCACATTTGTCCCTCAGCTGGACACACCCACGTGCAGCCACATAAAAGAAAATGCATTTGAATTGATTCTGGAATCATTTCTGTGCAATCAGAGAAGCGCATTCTGGTGGAGCAGAAGAAAACATCCTCTAACTTCCTCCTCCCTAAAAGACTGTCAGAAGTTGTTTTTTTAGAAAACAAAACCACTTCTCAGCTGAAACTGTGGTTTCCTTCAAAGTGTCCAGGATGACCATATCAGGGCAGGACAGGTGTAAGTCAGAGGAAGGTGTTTCGGGGGAAACATGGGGTCCCGAAAAGGCAAGGGCCCCTCCCCGAGCCATGCATTTCTGGGTGATTCTTAGGAAGCCATGGAGACAGGTGGGGCAGAAAACCCTAGAAGAACTCCCACTTCTGTTTTCCACGGGGTGGCTGGAATGTCCCCATCACTTCTGGGTCACAGGGACAGACAACCTCAGTCATCTAATCAAACAGGAGCCGCATCATTGCTGAATGGTTCTCAGCTCCAGAACAGCCCATTCTCCTCCTCACGGGACCTGGCTTGACTGCGGGCTCCACAGAATGGCCATCTGTCCACCACAAGGGTGCAGCATTGGAGGCTTCTCTCTAGCAGCCACGTGGGCTGCAAGTTTGCTCTGGCCACAGAGCAGAATCAGGTAGTGGGCCAGCCAGGGGCTCAGGTTTCCATTCCAGCTGACTTCACCACAGACTGAAGGAACTGCAGGTGTCTCCTGGGGATCCCCTCATCTGTGAACCCCTCAGTTCTGAGCCACCTGCTCCATAGGACTGAATAGGTGGTTCACCCCACAGTGCCTGGCTGAGTGCTGCAGGGAAATCTCGAATGGGCTCTGGAAGGAGGCCCAGGGCTACTCCCAGCAGCTGGCCCTGGGCAGCCTCTGCTGGAAGGCTTGTCATCTGTGTCTGTGGCATGGAGGGGACGGGACGAGGGCTGAGTCTGGAGACTGTTCCACAGGACCCACGACATGTGCAAGGGCCTGTGGACAGCCTTTGGCCCTCAGCTCATGGCCATTTAATTTGAAAAAAATTATTATTATTATTATTATTATTATTATTATTATTATTTGTACTGGGGATCGAACTCATGCTTGCCAGATAACTACTTATACTGCTGAGTTAAATCCCCGGCCTACTTGAAATATTTTTAACACTGAGATATTAGCTTATTTAACCAAATCTACCCCAGTAAAACTTTGAGGCATTTCTCATGTTTGATGATTTCCCTGCAGCTAATCAAGGTGCTTTTAGTGTTTAGCACAATCAGTGAGTCCAAGGTGCACCCAACAAAACAGGACATCTTCTCCCCTTCCTGCCATCCCGGCAACATTCTGTGTGATGCAGGGGTTCTCACTGTCACCTGCAGCACAGCACAGCTAAGAGTCACCTAAAATTTGCTCAGAGGCTCACTGACTCCTAAGTTTGAGGTTATCAAAGAATTTAGAAAATTTCTACTTATGCCTAATTTCACATATTTTTTTTTTGTAAATTAGTATAAATGTGCTAGCTTCCTGGCTGAGAAACACTTCTTAATTATAGTCCTTCAGGCTGTCAGCATAAACTCCCCAAAAGACTACTAAGACGAAGGAATAACCAGAATAAAACCACGCTATCAATTATCATGGTACTGGGCTGGGCTGGGCGTGGGAGCAGGAGACGCCCTGAGCCCGCCTCCCTTGACCTGTGCTCCCTTTCTCTGGAGCCAGCAGGGCTGGATCTCAGGACTGTGCCCTACCAGCCGCATCCAGCCTCAGCTGCTCACAGCCCTCCTCTCCAGTGCCCAGGGCTAGGTCTATACTACCCTTTAGTGGGCTCCAATGCTGGCCCAGTTAAAGATGGTGTGGGGCCTTTATGAGAAGCCTCAGGATTCAGGGGCTTTTCTGGGTGTGTCAGGGGCTTCATACACCAAAGGAGGGCTGGCTGTCCTGCTGCCCTCACAAGGCTCCTTTCAAGGACGCTGCTTGAGGTTCTAGTGGCAGTGGCTGCACTTATTCCCCATTCCTCTCCAGAACCCTCTGACTCTAAATGTTCAGAGCAGAGAGTAAACTAGAAAATACTGAGAATAATTGAGAAAGGGCTGGTTTGGGGGGCCCCATGCACTTTAATGATTGCTTTTATAGGCTGCATACAACACCAGAATCTGCAGGAAGTTACACAGTTTAACTCGCAGAACAGCTGAGAGAGTTTGTGTCATTGCAGCTCCCTCCACGTGAGAGGGCTAAGAGGCAGGCCTGCAGAGTGGTTTCCCTGGGGTAGACAGTCACGGGTGGTGGTCTGTTGGAGACCACTACGAAGTGGCTCTGACCAGGATTTAAATTTTACTAATTGGCTTTCTCTGTTTATCTGTGAGTCTGTTCTAGGCCTAGGCCCCTTGCCTGGGGACAGGAGCTGATTCATAGTAAGTGAATCTCTATGAATCACTGGTCCTGGCTGAGGCCTGCAGTGGCCTGTGAGGCCAGAGATACCTCAAAAGTCAAGATAAGGCCACAGCTGCGGACACTCTGGCTCCAACTCCAATTAACAAGATAGAGACTGCAGCTGCAAAGATTACTCCTACAGTCTCACTTCTACTATGTCTTCATGATAAGACAGTGCTACTGAATTGACTTGATTCATAACATGGAGATGTCCTTGAAGTGACTTCCAAGGTCCTGCTTATTGCCTGCACTTTCCTCAGTTTCTCTGCCCTTTGGCCTTGGTCCTAATATAAGTGGATTGACCCAGAGAATCCTTTGTCTTTACCCTCGAAGCCTCGAGCTTAATTACAGGGTTTTGACCCTCCTGGAGCCCTACAAATAATACAATTTCTCACTTTAACCTCTGCCATACACTAGTTTGGGAAATTGGGGATCTAGGACAGAACCCGATAATGGTCTAGGGTGACAGACAAGACTGTTCCAAAGTCCAAGAAGACTACTAAGTGAGTTATTATACCTCAAATCAATTACATAAAGAAATAAGGACACATGACCTAGAAACAACCTGGGTCAACACATCTGTGTGGGTAGAGAAATAGTAATGTGGATGGATGGATGGAAGGATGGATGGGGGACAGGTGACAGACAGCACAAGAGACAAATGATAGGTGACCCATAGATGATCATACATAACTGACAGGTGGGTGATAGATGGCTGAAGGATGGGTACCAGGCTCCCACAGAGGAAAGCACTATAGCACAGAGGTAATGAGCTCTTTACCTTCAGAGTATCTCCTTCAAACAGCTGAAAACTCCGAGCTCGGAGGTGGATTCCCTTGCCGGCTTCCGTTTCTATTTTATAGATACATTCGTGGTTATTATCATAATTGGATGGGAAATTTGGAGACAGTAATGTTCCTTCATTGCCTTTGACGCTTGCTCCACATTCAGCTAAAATAAATAGGACATTAAAACAGGATTCAAAGGTGGAATTATGGATTTTCCCAGACTAAACATTTCCACATTATGATCACTCTCTTTCTATCAGTGTTGGGCTACCCTCAAAGCACGTTAAAAACCGAAAGTAGTGACATTTTTACTGTTCTACCACTGGATAGAAAAGATGCCACATTTCCAACAGCCTGGTTTATGATACTTGATGGGCCCTTGCCATGGGCAGCCGTGGGCTATCCCACAGAGAGTTCCAGAAAAGATGGCCTGTGCTCTGAGCACCCCGAATCCTGGCTGTGACCCCAGCAGGTGACATCCCTCTATATGAAATGCTCCGGCCAGTGTCATGTGCCATTGGGCTGATGCCACCTCCCTGCACTTACTCTGGGTCATCAACCAGGACATGTCCAGCAAAGGGGACAAGCTCTAAGGTGCCCTCCACCCTCTTCAGCATGGACTCTGCATTCACCCGGCATGGGGCCACTTGGTGGCTGATACTTTATTCTTCTCTCCTTTGTCTCCTGAAAGGCATCTAGCTCCAGGTTTGCAGAGAGCAAAACACATCTAGTCAGGCCAGAAGTGACAATAACTATGTTTGCTGTCAACCCCAAGGAAGGTCCGAGCTCTCCGCCACTGTCCCTCATCCATGGGAGTGAATGGCTTTCCTTGGGATCTCTTCACATTCTATGCAGAAAATGGTGACAGAATGACACTACACAGGAGAGACCCTGGTGCTAGGGGCTCCTTATAGGCCACGTCCTGTGCCGGGCACCAAGATCCTCATGAACAGTGGGACAGCATTAGTGTAAAGAACAATGGTACAGCCAGAGTCTGCACATCACAGGACTCTGCTCCATGGACAACAGGGAGAAGAGGAGTTGGTCCCATGACTGGGGAGAGCAGGCAACCTTGGGGACTCCACCCACATCTTCTCCATGCCCTTCGGATCCAAGGGGTAGTGGAATGCCCCTTCTTTACCAGAATCACAGTCAGCCGCTAGCTGTGGCCACCCAGGCCCTTGGTGAGCAAACTGCCGGAGACCCGGAGAGGATCCCAGCTCCTGGTGCAGAGACCAGTGTCCTTGGGGTGGGGATGGGGCTCACCTCAGGTTGGGGTGGCAGCGGGGACAGAAAAGCGAGACAGAAGTACAGGGAACTGGACACCCAGCAAAATGGCGATGGAGTCTTATAATAATATAATTCTTAAAAATGTATAGTAGTATCGATTCTTATCTGATATATGCTTATCAAATCATGAAATTCTTTAAAACTTATTTTGCAAGAATCCACTGGAGAGCAAGGCAAGCTCGCAGGCCCACCTGCCTGAGAGGTCTCGCAGACTCGGGGCCAGGAATCTGGGGACAACAGGGTATCCCACAGGGAGGGAAGATGGTTTTGTACCTGAATTCCAGAAAATACTCCCCACACGTCCTCTATATCTGGGAAAGACAACCACAGGCACTGAGGATCCTCACCGAACGCATTTCTACCTTTTTACCTTCTCTGAAACAATGGGGGATTTTTAACATAAAACCCAAGAGAACAAAATGAAAATAGGAAGTAAAGCAATGTGTCGCCTTGGACTCTGCTGCAGCCTGAATCACGACACAGCAGAATTACTAAAGGTAGCAAATTTAGTAAGAATAAAAGAAGAAAATCATCGGGCCCTGCTGACTGGAGTGTAGAAACCAGTCACACATGCAAGAGATTATTATTTAAAACAGAGATGGCTGGTAATCAACTGAGGAAACAATCCAAAACTCAACTTTAGGTCATTCAATCTGTGCCTTTTATTGGTTTTAAAATATAGACAATCAAAAATATAGCATATATTGATTGTGGCACAAAAAGAAATACTTCAGTCTGGGGAGCTTGCTGGCCGGGACTTCCATGTGAGTTTGGGCTGCCAGAGATTTCATTCTCCTGTTAGATGATCTTAATTTGAATTCTGCACACTCTCCTTCTCCTTCTTCTTCTCCTTATCCTTCTTCTCCTTCTTCTCCTTCTTCTCCTTCTCTACCTTCTCCTTCTCCTTCTCCTTCTCCTTCTCCTTCTCCTTCTCCTTCTCCTTCTCCTTCTCCTTCTCCTTCCCCTTCTCCTTCTTTTGCAGTCCTGGGGATTGAAACCCACCAGGGCCTTCTGAGCTTCATTCCCAACCCTTTTCAATGTATTTTTAAAATTTTTTCAATATTATTTTGAGACAGGGACAAAGTCTTTCTAAGTTCCTCAGGCTAGGTTCAAAGTTGTGATTCTCCTGCCTCAGCCTCCCAGTGGGCTGGGATTATCTGGCCTTCCTACTCAGATGCACTGTGATAAGGTTGGTGTGTAAACTTCAATTTATTTAAGCCTATTAAATTATCAATACAGCTTCAAAACCTCAGTCTTGGACAAGGAAACTGGCTTTAGTATATTCACAAGCCAGGATCTTTCTCAGGGTCACATGAGACACACAGATGACTGATCCCTAAGAATGCAAAATCTCAGGAAGGGAACAATGCTCATTTTGTGTCCTAAAAACACAGACCATGTCTGTCATCAAGAACCCCCAATAAAGGTCACAGCTCACATCAGGGACGTGGAGAACATTCAGTCTGCCAGGAGTGAGTGCATTTTCAAAGGCCTAGCTGAGGAAGTCATCAGTTAACAGCAGCTCCTTTGCTCCACGCTGGGCTGAGAATGTCAGCCAGATTCACTCTCCAGTGAGCCTGGAGGGCAGAGGGGGGAGAATTCAGCTCTGGCTGTCTGCGTCCTTCCAAGACTAGGGCAGGTGGTCCTCACACAGTGACCTCACCTGAGGCCTTGCCTCTGACTCTCCGGATTTCACAGGGTCCTTGTGGTCCTCTGGGAGATGCTGTTGCCGTGTACACTGGTGGCCTAGCATTGTCTTCTCCTGCTTCCATGGCCAGCTCAGCAGTGGAGCCAGGCGTTCCACAGGTCTCTGTGGCCCAGTGTGCCCTGTGGTCGCCCTGTCAGGGGCTGGGGAGAGCACGCATGGCTGGTGTCTCAGGTGTGGGACACATGCATGCTGCACAGGGTGATGGCTACGGCCCTGCAAAGTATCCTGGGAGGAGCCGTGGGGACCAGGGTGAGACCTAGGCTGGGTGGCCTTGCATTTTCCAAAGCCCATGTAGGTCACTACCAAGAAAGCTTGTCCTGGAAACAGGGTGTATAGAAAGAGGAGTGCTTCAAGGAAAAATGGGACCCTCAGGACCCCAAGGAAAATGCAAGGGTTCAGATGTTTCCTGGAGGAACCGGGAAGCCAGTTTCAGGACCCAGAGACCACAGGAGCAGCCTTGGGGAGCCAAAAATAAATCGTGTAGCCCATGGAATCCAGCTGTGCTTTGCCCTGTGGTGCGGGGCGCTCACTTGTCTTCCACTCTGTGCATCACACAGTGTTTATTTGAATTCCATGTCAGTGAGGTATGCTACAGCTCCATCAGTAGAAGCCAATCCTGGGCTGGCTCAGGTGAGGAAGGGCGGGTGGGGCCACAGCAGAGCCAGCAGGGGCGTGCGGTTCTGGTAAGAATCCTGCCGAGTCCACGTGGCTGTGCAATGCTGACATCCTTCCTCTGGGGGAATATCAGACAGTCCATGAGGGCACGTGGTCTGTCCCCCCAACCCAGGCTCTGCAATGCTGACATCCTTCCTCTGGGGGAATGTCAGACAGTCCATGAGGGCACGTGGTCTGTCCCCCCAACCCAGGCTCTGCAATGCTGACATCCTTCCTCTGGGGTAATGTCAGACAGTCCATGAGGGCAAGTGGTCTGTCCCCCCAACCCATGACCCCACGAGGGTAGCACGTCACACCTTCCCGAATCCCCTTGGTTAATATTTCACAAAGTCTCTCCTGATTTGTGATTTAATTTATGGCCTGTTTTATGACTTAACTTGTTTTCATACTAAATTTACTCGTATACAAAAGTGCCTACAATGCAGTCTTTAAAGGAAAGAATTGAAATGTTTCAAAGACCCAGAGAAAAATAAAGTCAGCCTGGGCCCTCATCCTGGAAGAAATAATTATAGAAAATAACACTCTACGGTTGCTCAGAGAATTATAACATTGAAGCCATCAAAATATCAACAATTCTTTGAACTTGATTCCAGGGACCCACTGTAACTTTCATCACCAAATCACTTAAGTGCTTCACTTTTTCAGTTCTTTCAAGGCAAGTGAATATCATGTTTCTTAATATCATGTTTGTATGAAGAATTACTAGACCTGTAATTAAAAAGGAGTAGGTATTGAGAGTTTTTCCAGGGAGATAAATGAATTAAAATTAAATTAGTCATGTTAGAAAGATGTCAATTGATTTTTTCCATTTGTTCTTCTGTGTGGTCTTAGCCACCTGGGACAGCCACTGCCTTGGTGCTCCTGCTGGTAAGACAGATGTCACCTACAGGTGTCAGAGGCCACTGGGTGTAGAGGGGAGCCTGCTCATCCGGCTGGGTCAGGATGAGTTGATTGACTCACTGTTAGGAGAAGTGTGTCTTCCCAGCAGTCCTAGAAGTTAAACCCAGAGCCTGTTGCGTGTGAGGTAAACGGTCCACCCTCTGAGCTGCATTCTCAGTCAAAAGAAGGTTGTTTTATTGGTGATGTCAATTTATTTATATTTCTACTATATAAGAAAAGGTTAGGAAAGGTAACCTTGCAATTTGCCTGTTCAGCACTCAGACAGGATTCAAATGTCCACCTCTGTAGGCCTGGGACTGAGGAAAACTACATTGCAGATACAAGTTTTTCCATGGGATGGGAGACACTGTTTGCTATTATTGTCAAATAGTAGTTATTAAAGTGCCCTAGAAATGATTGTGAGGTCTTGAGAACACTGTACACATGCTGACACAGTCAGTTTAATTTACTCACGAAGGCTTGTGCTTCAGAAGCATAATTTGTACAGCACAGAGATGGAAAATAGCCCAGCCAATGGAGAGGATCAGCAAAGTCCATCTGCCTCCCATCAACCCAAGTTTACTATGGCTAAGGAAACAATTCAGTAAAGT